ATAAAAAAAAAAAAAAAAAAAAAAAAAAAACCAATGCTATATAAAATAGATTTTATCGTCAGTGCTACGCGATAATTATGTACTTAATTATGAATGAATAAATAAAGAAATAGAATTAGAACCTTTTGTTTTTATTATTATAGTTCTATTACAGTCTATCAATACAAATTGGTATTTACACTTTTGTCTGTCCGTCCATTTTTCATTTTAACTTTATATACATATTCGATATGATATGCGAATTGGCAAAGCCGAAAGTTCAAATTGCTGAAACTCTGTATAAAGTTGAAATAGTCGATAATCTGCACACGAGAAGGAACTTTTGCATCTTTAAATGTATTGGTTCGTTATATATATATACATATAAAGTTTGTTTAAAAATGAATTATAATTACTATTTGAATATAAAATTTTTCATACATAAAACTGAAATATTCCCACAGCAATTTGGACTCGGAGATCGTGTATTTTTTAAGTATGAATTAAATGAATATGTAAAATAGTAAATATGGACATCTTTATCGATACATGTTCAATAATGTTTGATAATGTTGGATAGTATTTGCATTAAATTTATGTATAATTGAAATAAAGTTTTAAAGTTATATAACAGTCAAAATAATTTGATTTACTTATACCAATGGGAAGTATTAGAACATTTGTAGTATTAATTTGGCTCTTATATAATTTCTAATATTAGTGATATAGCCTTTTTTTTATCTTTTCTTATCTATACGCGCACGCACGCACGCATATATTAATTTCTAACTTGCTAGAAAATATGAAAAAGTTTTATCCATTTATTTCTAATTGTGTTTGTAGTTATTTTTTACTTAAAAGTTCCGATCAAATGTTGGGTTCCTTTTCCCAAGAGAGTAATTTAGTCGGATAGTCCTGGAAGTATTTAGAAAAGTCAAGATTCGTTATTAATATTTAATTATGAGCTATTGGTCTGGATTTCTATTAATATAGGCTTATATATATATGTGTGTGTGTGTGTGTGTGTGTGTTTGTGTGTTTGTGTTTGTGTTTGTGTGTTGGAAGAAAAGAAAAAATCAGCTTATATTTGTGAATAATGGATAATTATAGAGAAAGTCGTTAATTAAACATCGAATTGTATATTAATAAACGGAATAAATTATTTTGCGAATGATCTGTAGTATTAAGAGAATTTTGTTCTGTTAAAACCAACCGACTGAAATTTGTGCGAAACTTTGAATATTTGTTAATTAATTAACTTTCGCCAAAGCACGTTCAGTCAGCATTCTCTCGTGATATTTCGTAATAAGGGAAAAATTATATATAAACTTTTCCTCCAATTGTACTTGTATCAATAATAATGTATTAGTCGGCTGTATTAAAGAAAGTTAGGCGGCGTAGGCTCGTCATTAGAATTTCACTCCTTTCGACGAGCCTTCGAATCTTTCGCCCGTACTTTGCCAACGGTGACTAAAATAATGGAAATAGAGAAGAATGTTGAGTGAAAGGAGGAGTGACGCTGGTGCTGATTAATACAGCCATATCCAGCATTATTAAACGCTAAATGAAAAGAATAATTAAGGAAGGAGGTCACAATGTAATGATAATATGCGATGGAAACTCCTCATCGTCACTCATCATTCCCAAATGTAAAATCAGTAGGCGAGCCTCGTTTCTTCGTCCGCCGGTCAAAAATCATATCTATCATCCTCGCTCCCTCTAATTTCCCTCGAATTTGGGGATGCGAAAGTTGCGGGATCTCTGGGCTAGAGGCGTTATTGGCGACTGTGGCCCTCCATTCCCAGGACTTTTAACGCATACCTCGCCGATATGACCGGAGCCAAGTTTCTCCATTGTGTGCAGGCATTGGCAGGATATGTTGGCCGGCTCGATCTCCTTGCACTTGTAAGGTTTGCTCATGCTCGGCGCGATGTTCCATCTGACTACGGGCGCTGGCACCTGGAACGGCAATTTCCGCCTCCTCAATTCCTTATCGTCCACATCTCTCGCGCATTCCTTTCGCCCGTTTGTTTATTTATTTATCGGGAAATAACGTGGCGCCGCTGAGCTAGGACGACGCGATGTTGCCACGATCTACTATCGGATCCTACGGCCCTCCCTATCCTATTAATTCGACCACTTTTCACATCACATCTTTATTATATATATATATATATATATATATATATATATATATATATATATATATATATATATATATATATATATCGCGCCTGATAGTAGATTATTTAAAATCCTCGTGCTTTTTCTCTCGGTAAAAAATCAAGTTATCGCTATGTTGGAAAGTTAATATCTGCAATATGCGTATTGAGCGGCTGATTGTCGAGCGATCGCGTTAAAGAGATGAAGACGATGATTAAGATAAGTCAACGATAAACTTGTCTTTTTAACGAACGAGAGCGAAAAATTGCTCATTTCTTTAATTTATTGGTTATTTTACGAGTAAAGGCTTTTCCTCCCAAAGCATTCCTTAGCAATAATTATTCGTTTGGTCCAATTTGATATTGCAAATTACTTCGCCATTTAATATTAAATTTCGTCTTTCATTAAGCGAGTAGCTAGCAATAATCAAGGCATTATTAATATAACGTAACTCATAGATTTATTTTCAAGTTCATTACATCGTTATTCGGCGCGATAAATTATATTTAATTCTTTCTCTATTCACTCTAAAAACATTACTCGTCATATTAGCTTCAAAGGCACAGTGGCTTGGCTTAATTTAAAAGCACAAACAGTCCTTTATACGACGTTCAAATGATGTTTATTAAATCGTCGTTGACCTTATCGCGCTCGCGAATAATTTCAAATAATTTCTCGACATTATTATTTATAGCACAGATTTTTGGAAATATTGGCCAATCGCCCATCCCTAGCGATTTATCAATATTAAATTTTCAACCGTTACTTATCGTCCCAGTCCCTTCCATTCCCTCCCCTTTACCATATAAAAATTCTTAAAATCCCAAAAATCAATCCATTCAATAGAATTTTCTCTTAAATATATATAGATAAAAAAAAAAAAAAAAAAAAAAAAAAAAAAAAAAAAAAAAAAAAAAAAAAAAAAAAAAAAAAAAAATCAGTCGTCCACTGTACTACTAATTGCACGCGCTCCAAGATTACTCAAATTACTTTATGCACCGAATAGTAAGTTTTTTGCGTTTTCGCGCACTCGTTACGAAAATTAGCGCGAAAAATTTTTATCCCGTTTATATTAGTGCTTCCCTTAGATTATATATACGACGTTCCATACGCCCCCCCTCCCCCCCCCCTCCCCCCCATCGCCACCACCGCCACCACCAGAATGCAACTTTTCCGTTTAAAACAAACGTGTCCCATTTTCCAGTGTCACCGCCACTCCTCGAACGATTTACGTTTATCCCTACTAGGACATCCAGGAGGCGAGGATCTGAACTAGGGAAACGTGTATGAAAGATATCCCCGTTGTTGGGGGACCTTACCTTGTGCTTCTCCTTGGGCGCGGTATGCCAGCGCTTGACGTCGCGCGATTGGCTCGGCGTCCCCGAGACGACGAGGCGCCTCGAACCCGCGAGATGGCCACTGCTCTGGAGGGTACGGTAATGCTGGGCTTGACGCCCGGACGGCGAGCTCGAGCTGGCCGTGTCCTGGCGCAGGCCGTATCCCCGCTCGAAGCTTTTACTGGGCCGCATCTCATCCTTGCGCTGAAGCTCGTGACACGGCGGCTCTGCCCACGGGAGATTACGGAATTTCACGATTTAGAAAATTATTTTGAGGCATTTGCTCGTAGTAATGTAGTAGATTAGTAATGGTTGTTTGCGCTTTCCGCGTCGGAATGGGAAGGAATCGGAGGCTTTGAGGGATGCTTTATCGGCTTTTGGCCCGTCCGAGCCTGTCTATTGGAACATTCATAAGAAATTTGTCGTTTCTCTTGTAGCTGAAAATGTGGCGGATTACGCCACAGGACCACAAGGTCCGCCTCCCTTTAATAAATTACGTAAGGAATTATTTTATATCGTCATTTTCTTCGTTTTTAGCATTTTAGAGATGTAATCCCAAAGGGATTAAGTAGGATTTGACAAAATGTGTAGGGTTATGAACTTGCTGGAGGATAAGCGTCTACGCAGTGTAGTACTTGCTATTCAAAAATGTAGACCCCTTTGTCTTAAAATGCTACTTTGAAGAAAAAAAGTAGCCACGGTAGTTTAAAGATAAAAAAATCAGTTTAAATTAAAAGGTAGTTTAAAGAACTAATTTTCTTGCTACGTGGTTTATTCATTTTGTCAAATAAAAAATATCATTTGTGAAATTTGTCCATAAATAGTTTGGTAAGACTGGTTATTCTTCAAATTCTATTACATTATTTGTTATGGTAAATATATTTGAAAAAAAAAAAAAAAAAAAAAAAAAAAGAAGAAGAAAAAACAGAAACAATTCATGTACTCTAAGTGAAAGAATAATTGTCACACTTATATAAATTGAAATCCATACGAATTATTGTGGATTTTAAATAATTAAGATAATTACGATAACCGCTATTATGATAGTGCTGAAGAAAAGGAGTTTTATAATTTCTCTAAGTGTCGATGTGTTGGTTTGGTAATAGCTTACAATTGTTAAAGCAATAATTTCGAATTGAAAATGTATTTGACGAGAATAAATTTTACCAAATAAAAAATTCCAAATTACTTTGACAACAAATAATTTATTTTATTCTATCGTTTCATTTTGACATTAAGACAGCTGCAAAAATATAAATTCAATTTAATTTAAAAATAACCTTGTGTATTGGCAAAATACTAAGTATTGTAAAAAGTGTTTCAACTAATTATTTTCTAATATAAATATTCGACAGATTTTAAATTACGTTTGATAGGTATAATTCATGTTCCACCTATTCATATTTTCAATAATTTTATATGTATTTTTTTTTAAATATGAACTTTAATAAATATATGTATATAGATATTTTTTAAATAGATAAGGTAAGAATAAACGTGTTATGTTTAAAGAACTTATTTGCATAATTATCGAAAGGTTTAAGATTACGTTTTCTTTGAATTAATGAGTTAATTTTTCATAATATTAGTTTCAAATATTTTCAAAACTTGTTTGAATAATGGATTATATGAAATAGCTTAGATGATGATGATGATGATGATGATGATGATGATGATGATGATGATGACGATGATATATACATACATAATTTCTCTTTATCATTATATTATTCAATGTTATATATATTTTTTTATTTTTAAGTTCGTTTTAATGCATATAATTAATAATGCTGAATTATTATTGAAAAATTAATGGAAGAATAAGTTATGGGAATACGAATAATTGACTGTATAGATAATTAAATACCATTAACAAATGGCTTTAAATAATTAATATAATAATATTAATTTGAGTTTCTCTGTACATATCGAAAGTTTTGATAGAAGCTATCTAAGGAAACTGACTCGAATTAATCATAATTCATTCACTGTAGGATCAAAGAAAATATTAATTAAAGGATATAAATTACTTCGGATAATCTGTCGAGGATAAAACTAGAAAATAATGGCAATACGCGGTATTTAAACATTTAACTAATTACAGTTACATAGTTACGGCGTTATAAATGAACATTGTTTGTAAATCTTGACTTTTACACAATGTTGCGCGGTACCTTTAAATAATCTGTTTGAATACAATTATTATAGAGATTATCGCTGAAAGTATTATAAATAAAAGCAATGATTTGTTTACATCAAAGGATAAATTTTTATGAGAATATAAACGAGTCGACTTTGAAAGATTTCGTATTGAAAATACAAAAGTCCGGAGAATGAAATTAATTCGTTATATTGCATGTTACTATTAATAATTGCGCATTGTGTATTGCAAATTAATGATTATCAATAGTGAAGCTTTATAAAGTATGGTAATACAATGTATCAGTTGGCTAAATTTTGATTAAGCTTATTCTATTATTTATAAATTTTATTACATTCAGCTTATCATTTTCTCGACTCATTATGAATTGTATATAATTGAATTATTAGTAATTAAATCGCTTACTCTCAATCCAATGAATGTTTAATTATTTAATTATATATAATCTCCGTAATGAAAAATTTCTATTATTTTATAAATATACAATATTTTTATACTACTAGGCAACTATTCATTATCTATTGATATATTTTTTTTTATGATATGTTTCATCGTTTACTTACATTTCGTTATAATTATAATTGGGATAACTTTGTACGAATGAACATTGATAATTAATTTTAAGGCTTTAGAATATATATTTCATTTATCATTATTAACTTTAAATAAGAGCTGTTATTTTGCACGAAACTAACGTTTATTTTTTTCGAAATATCTAAAATTTGCTACTACCTATTACAAATTACAAGCCTTGAATTTTTAATATTTACAAGCCTTATTATTTAGTACTTAAAAGAATTTCGAATATTTATTTATTTAAATACATGTATGTTTTGATAAGATATTTTATCGAAAATATCAATCGTTGAAAATTGTTTCATTCAACCTGTAATTTAACTCGATCACATATGTATCAAATGAAGTTTGTTATTTTAGATAAAACGATACTCGTATATTCGTAATAAAGAAAAAAAAAATTGTAAAAGAATTTATTTTTATTTTATAAAAATTTTTTATTTTAACTGTCGTTTTGTGCACAGACGCGCCCGCACACATGCTCACATACTAAAGGCTTTTATAAAAATCTTCATACTTCTTTATCATTACATAAAAAAGCCAGTAATGTAGAATTTTTTATTTTCAAGGTTAGAGACAATTTAAGATTTTAATTAGTTTAAAATTAAAATTTTACCCTTAAATTTGTAATGAACCTAAGAAAAGGAATAAGGAATACGCTGTGTTTATTTATTATTGTAATAAGAATTTATTGACTTTTATAAATTCTCGCTCATATACTTTTCACTTATTTTTACCTCGCCACACTTGTAAGCTGTAATTTTTTTTTTTTTTTTTTTTTTTTTTTTTTTTTTTTTTTAATTAGATTAATAAAGCACATGGCAGGCAAATTGTGAGATAAAACACGTGAATGTAGAGGAATAAATTTCCTTTTTGAATAATTTCTAATTAAAATCTATGAAAAGCCTAGTGAAAATAAATTATAAAAATGTTCTACATTTTTCAATATATTTTTTGATGTTTTATATACTTAATTAAGGTTTGAATTTGCCTTTGCCAAAGTATAAGCGTTAGCTACGTAGTCCAATATTTCCACTGTAATGTTTCTCGTCCACGTCCTTCGAACGCTTTACATTTTCAAAGTATTCAATTTTACTCGCCTCATATATGAATCGTTATTGCATATAGTTACAATGACATCCTTTAAAGTTCTCATAGACCCGAGGATACACATACGCATACGTCGATGCATAGGCAAAAGGTAGACACGCATTGGCATACACATTGGTAAAGTAATACGGTTCTATGTAACTTGCCATCGACCCATGAGGCGAGCGTAACTCCAAGGTGTGCAAACGATAGCCGAGACACGTTATATTTTATTTTACGATTTTTCAAGTATTTTTTAACAGGAAAACTACTAACTTTGAAAGCCATGACGAGGCAACCATACGTCTAATAGCCAATATGCAGAGACGTGTATGTGATGCGTGGGAATGGAATTTTCTTAGTTAAGGACACGAGGCTTCCTTTATATCGATTTATTATCCTATTTGCGTATCGTCTGGTTAGAGTGAGATTTCAATATAATTTTTCAAATTGAGGACGTTTATCCAGAAAAATAAAACAATATTGGCATTGTCAGTCATTGGAGCTTCGCGCTTAAATAAATTATTATCTCAATCGGATATTCGATAGATATATATATATATATATATATATATATATATATATATATATATATATATATATATATTATAAATTATTTGATTTTGAATTAAACGATTGTTCATTCATTGAAGAAAGCAGAGGGCAGAAACAATCAATCTGCTTATTAGTGAAAGTAAAAAATCAATTATAAATGAGAATATTTTTTTAATTAATATTTTAATCTGTACAGTAAATTCATAATATTATTATTCATTAGCACGAAAACTTAAGTAACATGTGAATTTTGTTTTTTAAACATAACGGCTCTATATATTTATAAAAGAAATTATAATTGTAAATAAAAGAGTAGTTTTCTTATAAATTATAACTTTTAAAATGTTTATATAAAATCCATTCTCTAGAGTATAATGATTCTTTTATATTAACAAATTGTTTTTAACAATTTAATAAATATATATGTATATATATATATATTTAAACCAAATACTTTAAATAGAATTATAAAAAAATTTGGTGTATAGATTATTTAATCGGAGGGATTATTGGGTTTTGGAAAATGAATTTTTAATTTAGTATTAGTAATTGTTGAAAGATATTATTTATGGGCAATCGATATTAATTTGAATCTGCTAATTAATTGCTAATTTGTTACGATTATCGATAAGGAGAACATTTTTACGATCATATAGTGGGATTAAATTGTAAAGCGTAACACATAGTCGAGTTTTTTTCTCTTTAAGTATTTAGATTTTAAAATACAAAAATGTATAAAAATATTATAAACTTATTTGAAAGAAAACAACATGTCATTGTAGTTTTGAGATGAAGGTTAAAATGAAAATAATGCCCTTTTAACAAAAATATTATTATTATTTTCATTACAGTTATTTTATATGGATGCAGTCGGAAATTAGTCGAATTCATCGATAATTCTTTTTCTATCAATTTAATTGTAGTCAAACATTTTTTTTTTCATTATACAAGTTTTTTGAAGTATTTAATAAATATAAATTTTTTCACATATTGGTAAAAATAAATTCTTTTACATTACTATTTTATTAGTGTGCAACGTGGTAACTGAAACTAACAAAGATAAATTTAAAATAAATTTTAAGACTTTTCATATTTTCAGATAGAAAAATATATTATTTTTTGAAATGTAAATAGGAAATTTTCTGAATTTTAAAATTTGACGCTAAATTTACATACTTCACCTTTATTTATTAGGTTCGATTTTTTTTATTCAATGCACTTGATTATTGATTTTCTAAATGCAGACATGATAAAAGCTTTCCTATTCACGTGAAATTTTTATCAAAAATTCAAATTTCATGTTATGATGTGATATTTATGAAATACGTGATATTTTTTATACGAGGATTTAATTAATCAATAATTAATCATAAAATAATAAATCAATGAAATTTTGAATAGCAAAAGTAATATATGAATAAGTTAATTTGTCAATTATAATCAAAGACTTAGTTTTAACAATTAATATTGAACAACTTAAATCAGATTATTTTAATGATTAATTTAATAAAACTTTTTGAAGTAAAATGGAAATGTTACAATTAAAAATAACGAAAAAGATTTATTTTCATGTAAAGTGAGATAAAAAAAAAACAATACTTTCGATATTATCTATCCTCGCGAACCATGAAGTTGATATAGTTTCACAAAAATTCTCAAAAACAAATGAATCAATTTCAATATTGTAAGTTTTTTTTTTTTTTTTTTCATTCTCTTTATAACAAGGGTTAATAAATATAAAATCGAATTCAATTGTTCATGCATGTTTTGCGTATTGTATCATTAGATTCATTCTATATTTTGTTAATATAACTGACAATGAAATGAAATTGATAGTGGAACGATAGCTGATTTTTCACATGCATTTTACATTTATATGTATATATATATATATATATATTAATAATAGAAATTGTATTTTCGTATATACAATTTGCGATTTTTAAGCGACCACATATTTATCTACTTAAAACACTTGAAATAACATCCCTGACAATATTCGCTTATAATCCGGCAATTTTAGAAATCATGTTTGAAAAATGTTATTGAAATATCCACTTGCCACCGACTGCGCCAGACCCACGCCCATTGATTTAAATAAAGTTAATCAAGTGCATTGGTATGTAATACCGTTCAAATACATATTGACAATCGGTTTTATCCCTCTTGAAGAATCCTGTACAAAATACGAGTGTCAATCGAGTCTCCGTTTGTTCACCAATGACAATTGTCCGTGGCAATTCTCTCTCTCTCTCTCTCTCTCTCTCTCTCTCTCGTACCATGTGTATAAAACGAGGGACGAGACTCTCGAATATGATTGTAAGTTTCGTTTTTCTCCTATTTCGGCCTCATCGTTTAAAGGAGCGCCGTAAATCCACATTGTCGGAGCAAAATTATGGGCTGCTGGTGGTTGTTTGTGTTCCATGCTTAATAGTTGTATTCTTTTGTGCTAACACTTATGCAGGAATTTAAGGATTAGTTAAATATTGGTGTAGCCGTAAAAACATTGAGTTGTGTTGGTTCAGCTACGCCCGTAGTTCGAGAGAATAAGAATCGACACAATTAATTAAATGTATAATAATTGACATGTGTATGTATTTAAAAACATCTATTTTATTAATTTATAATCTGGGATATTTGAATTTTCCGAATTTGATATATATATATATATATATATATATATTAAAGTCTTGAGTAATGCACGATTAAATTTTATCGTCATTGGTTAATACGATGCTTCGATATTTTTTAATATCATTTATACATTGTCATCTTTCTTTTCTTCGTCTATATTGTCTGTATGCATATAATTTAAAAATGCTAAAATTATGCAATCGTATTCTCTTGATATATGATATTTCAGGAAGGTGAATTACCACGGTTGGACGAAAAACTCGAAATTTTCGTCATTTTAAGCTATTTTGAATCGATTTTTAATCGATGCTCGAAGGAAAAGGAGAATTCTTTCTCATATTTTTATATAAACATATTGTCTTTACATATCATCGAACATTAAAGCAAGCGCGAACGATTATTAATCTCTGGTTAAAAATAATTACATTCTGCCCGTACCAGTAGTAATAAGAGACAAACATACCCGTACTAGAGACGATGGCATAGGTCGACTTGTACTGAGATTCGACGAGGGGCGAATTAAATGGCTCCATGATGAGGGAATCGTGTATGCTGAGATCCTCCAGCGGCGCGTCATCTAGAACGTTAACATCGGCTTCCGGATCCTCGTCTTCGTCCTCCACCTCCATCTCGTCCTCCTCCTCATCCTCCTCGTCGTCCTCTATCGCGTTGGCCTCCTCGTCCTCTTCATCCGGTGAGTCGCGTCCGCTCTCGTTGAGCATCCTGCCGGGCGCCAGATTAAGCAGGAAACCCTGGAGAGGCGCCAACGGTCGTTAGTGTCGAATCGGCCGGTCACTTTGCTCACGTGATAAAACAAGGTTACGGAGTTGCCCTTTGTTGTTTACGCGTGGCTGACTCGTCGTGATTTTCCGCCGGGAATGGGAAAATGGTAGCGAAGTAGCGGGGGACACTCGATATGCGACGCTGCCACGTAAATATTTTGCGCGCGGTCCACGTCTTCGCGGTTGGCCGTTTATGCGAATGATATCGACCGATTATATCAGAGCATTTTCACAAGCTCACGGGCGAGCAATTTAGGCGCCCTGAGATATCATAAATCAGCATAAGGATCTTCTGCTCGAGGGGAAAGAAAAAAAAAAGAAGAAAAAAAAAATAAATAAAACATTGAAAATTCATAACTACGACTCACGGCGTAAGATTAATAGCCCTCCTAAGCGCTCTTAATAATTGTCACGTGATGGAGCAGAGGATAAATTGTTGTGACGGTACTTGTACTATGTAATACGTGTATACAGTTTTTATACCAAGTACGTGGGATATGTTATAAATGAAAAGTAATAACAGCGTTGAAGTTGAATGTTTGAAGAATTTTGTGAATTTACGAGTACTTTGCGCCAATTTTTGTTGGCGAGACTAGTAAGGACATCTCCTAAGGAGAGATCTTAAGGGCAAACCGAGCTTATGCCGCGTGCGTCG